TTGGGATTAGTCAATATTCATGATAAACAAAATAAGAAATGTGATATATGTGTAGAATCCAAAATAACCAAGAAAAGTTGTCAGTCTGTAGAACGTCAAACTGAACTTTTAGGATTAATTCATACTGATCTAGCTGATTTAAAACAAACCACGTCAAGAGGTGGTAAAAATTATTTTGTGACATTTATAGATGATTACTCTAGATACACCAAAGTATATTTAATCAAACATAAAGATGAAGCATTTGACATGTTCTTAACTTACAAAGCGGAAGTAGAAAATCAACTAAATAGGAAAATTAAAAGGATTAGGTCAGATAGAGGTGGTGAATATACAATATTTAAAGATTATTGTCTTAAAGAAGGTATTGTTCACGAATTAACCCCACCTTATTCACCCGAGTCTAATGGAGTAGCTGAGAGAAAAAACAGAACTCTAAAAGAAATGATGAATGTCATGCTTATTAGCTCTAGTGCACCTAATAACCTTTGGGGAGAAGCTCTACTTATAGCATGTTTTTTACAAAATAGGATACCACATAAGAAAACAGGTAATACTCCCTACGAGTTGTGGAGAGGTTATAAACCTAATCTTAAATATTTAAGAGTGTGGGGGTGCCTAGCCAAGGTAATGTTACCCAATCATAAGAAAAGGAAAATAAGTTCTAAAACTTCTGATTGCATGTTCTTAGGCTATGCAGAACATAGTGCTGCCTATAGGTTTCTTGTCCTCAAAAGTGATGTAATTGAGCATAATACTATAGTAGAGACAAAAAATGTTGAGTTTTTTGAACATATTTTTCTTCTAAAGGTTAGTGAGACACCTAAACAATCTTTAGAGATTAATAGTGACAAAATCTATGAGGATTTGAGGAGAAGTAAAAGACAGAGGAAGGAAACCTCCTTTGGAGATGATTTCTACACTTATCTAGTTGAAAATGATCCAATGAGTTTTTTAGAGGCTACTAGGACTCCTGATGCAATACATTGGGATAAGGCCATTAAGATTGAAATTGATTCAATTAAGAAAAATAATACTTGGACTTTGGTAGATTTGCCTAAAGGAACAAAACCTATTGGTTGTAAGTGGATCTTTAAGAAAAAGTATCATTCTAATGGATCCATAGATAAATATAAAGCAAGATTAGTAGCAAAGGGTTTTACTCAAAAATCCAACATTGATTATTTTGACACATTTGCCCCTGTGACTAGGATTTCCTCTATTCGAGTTTTGTTAGCTCTAGCAGCTATCCATAAACTAGTTATACACCAAATGGATGTTAAGACAACCTTTTTGAATGGTGAATTAGAGGAGGAAATTTATATACCCCAACCTGAAGGGTGTGTTGTTCCAGGTCAAGAGAACAAAGTGTGCAGACTTTTAAAATCTTTATATGGATTAAAACAAGCACCAAAACAATGGCATGAAAAACTTGATAGTGTTCTACTTTGTAATGGTTTTTCAACTAATGATGCTGATAAATGTGTGTACTCTAAATTTGAGAGTGGTGAATGTGTCATTATATGTTTACATGTAGATGATATGCTAATATTTGGTACATGCATTGACATTGTCTCCAGAACTAAGTTGTTTCTGGGATCTAAATTTGAAATGAAAGATATGGGTGAAGCCAATGTGATTTTGGGTGTTAAAATTATAAGGAAGGGCGATAGTATTTATCTATCACAAGAACAATATATTGAGAAACTTCTTAGGAAGTTTGGGTGTTATAACGCCAAACCAGTGAATACCCCTTATGATGCTAACTCTAAATTAAAGAAAAATAGAGGAGACTCAATCTCTCAACCTCAGTATGCCCAGGTAATTGGGAGCTTACTGCATTTAATGAGTTTTTCTAGACCTGACATTGCTTATGCAGTAGGTAGACTGAGTAGGTACACTCAATGTCCTAATCAAGAACATTGGAATGCACTTACAAGACTTATGAGATACTTAAGAGGTTCAATGGATTATGCCATTGAATATAGTGGATTTCTCGCTGTACTAGAAGGATACAGTGATGCTAACTGGATTTCTGATTCAGATGAGACAAAATCCACTAGTGGCTATGTATTCACACTCGGGGGTGGTGCGATTACATGGAAATCAGCCAGACAAACAATTATTGCAAGATCAACAATGGAATCTGAATTTGTTGCTCTCGAAATGACTCGGTAAGTGAAGCTGAGTGGTTGAAAAACTTCTTAGTAAACATTCCATTAGGAATGAAACCGATCCCGTCTGTATCAATACACTCGTGATTGTCAATCGGCAATAGCTATAGCAAAAAAATAAGAACTACAATGGAAAAAACAGACATATACAGTTGAGACATAATTTAGTGAAGCAGCTGCTAAAGAATGGAACAATCTCCATTGACTATGTGAAGTCAGAACGGAATCTAGCAGATCCTCTGACAAAACCCTTAACGAGAAATATGATTTTAGAAACATCGAGGGGAATGGGCCTTAAGCAACTTGCAAACAAACAGGTGATGGTAACCCAACCTTTGTGATTGGAGATCCCATGAATAAGGTTCATATGGGTAAAAACAAGTCACTTGTTAGTTCTGTTAGCACTAAAATTGATTAAAATCAATTATGTCCATTCCTATGGTGTATATGTGAAAGTGCTAGATACTGCATCATTGAGAGGTTAAACTTTGTAATTAAAATTCTATGTAGTATACGAATTTTAGTCTAAACAAAGTTTTTAAACGATTTTCATATCCCTTAAGGGTGGTGTATGATTTGCAGCATACGCTTGATGAAGTCACCTATATAAGTGTCAAGTGAGACCGCTTGTATGAGATCTTTGCAAGATTTCTAGAGCACTCATGAATATCGGGCACGCGCATGGCCTAGTAAGCGCAACACAGCGATAACAACAAGAATTGTGGGGGTGTATTGTGATTATTAAAACCGCTAACACACATTAAGTGTTTTGGTTCATATAGCTTGCTACACCAACTACACTCGTGTGTTAAGTTTTTTAGTAAGACTCGGTTCATATAGCTTGCTATACCAAACTCGATGCATTACATCTTATATGAGACCCAGGATTTTCTTCTTTTATTTCTTTTATCCCTTTTGTTTTGCAACATGTGGGGGATTGTTGTAAATTAAGGGGTATTGCAAAACAGAGCACGTGTTCTCACACGTTGCAGAAGGCTGTTTCAGAGCACACGTTGCAAAAGACTGTTTCAGAGAACGTGTTCTCACACGTTGTAAAAGACTTTTTCAGAGAACGTTGCAGAAAACCGTTTCAGAGAACGTGTTCTCACACACGTTGCACAAGACCTTTTCAGAGAACGTTACAGAGAACGTTACAAGGAACGTTACAAACCCACTACCAAGTCTTCCTTAACTGTTACATACTTTCTCTTATAAATAGAGACCACTTCACACTCTTAAGAACACACCTCTCTCATCTTCTCTTATCTGATCTTTTTTCTGTGTTCCTGGGTTAATTTACTCTTTTGAGAGTTTCTTGCTAGTTTCTGAGATCCTCGGATATTCCGAGAAGTTCCTGTTGTATACTGGGGGACTTGCGCAATACACCGCGGATAAGTCTTTAAGGGCAGTAATTATACACGCCTCAGAAATAAAGTTTGTTCGTGTCTCTATCAGCTTTTCCAACAACTTAATTATTAGTCTTGTAATTTTTAGGTATGATCAGTAAAAAGTTTTATTGATTGTCTTTTATGGAAGAGGTTTTGTTGATTGTTATTAGATTTAAAAAAAAACACAAATTATTAAATTTCTTCACCTTTCATAAAGCTAAACATATACACATTCAATTAAATATTACCTTAATACTAACGACATCACATCTATATAAATATTATATATTTTTTAATTCTATTTTCTGTCATTTTGTAGACACGAATGACTCCAGGGTTGAAGGATTTAGTATCTTGCAAAATAAAAATTAAGAATGATTATCGTTAGGAAATATATTATCTCTGACTCAAATAAACTTTTTTATATGAATTCTGAGAAAGATAACATCTTAGTCACTGGTTAAATATCAGACTTACAATATATTTTGCTTATGATCAGATGCGGCTGAAAAAATTAACTGTACTAGGTGAGTTTTTCTTGTACCTCTGTCAATTCTCATTGGTTTGGTATGTTTTTACTGTTTGTATTTTATTATTCTATAATAATATAAGAAATTTTTATGGTTGAATTTCTTCAGAACCATAGACAATCAAACTCCTCGCACACACGTAATATATATATATACACACACACCTATCTTCTTCATTCGTCAGCTTCTTCTGCGTGCCACCTCTTCTCTATTTTTATTTTTTTCTTTGTAAGCATTTCTTTCATTCTTTTCTTGTGAAACGTGTCGATTCTTTGTGTGATGCAGTTTCAGGTTATGTTAAACTGCATGAGACTGTGATTGACCATCGTGCTTTGTCTTTTTGCAAGTTCTGCAGCGGAGGGTGTCAATTTAACATGTTTTATGATCTGCAGCGTGTGTTTCTTCTTCTGTGATTTTTTTTTTTCTGCAAGTGTGCACTTGTTTCCAGTCTTTTTCATTTTTTGGCCTCGATCTCTGGAAATTTGGGTTGTGGTGATGATACCCTTTTGTTGAATTGCTTGCGTTTTTGACAATTAGAAAGTTCACATGCAAATTTAATTTATGGGGTGAACCGTATCATGCGTAGCTTATTGATTTTTTTTAATACTTCAGTTTTATATTATGTATAGGTATCTAAAGTCTTGTGGTCAAACGAAAAGTAAAAATCGAAACTATATCCTATCTCTATCCTTATTTTCTGTTTCCCTTTCTTTAGAATTTTGTTTCTAGATACGAAGCTAGATCTTGGACAACTATGGAATTCCCTTTGTGTTTTAGGTTTAGGAAGGTTAATGTTAAAGCTGATTGTACTTGAATTTCGTTGACTTTATTATTTTTACCTGAAATGGTTTTGATGGTTTCTTTGTCTTTTCTGGTTATAAAATAGAGCTATTTGACTCTCTCGAACCATGGCTCTCTCTGGCGGTCAGAAGAATAGAGGAGAGTTGAGGATTCATGAGAGTTTGGATGAACTAAGGACTGATTTGGCAGACTATGTTGCTGAGTTATCAGAGGCATCTGTGAAAGAGCGAGGAGTCTTTGCCATTGCTTTATCTGGTGGTTCTCTCATTGGCTTAATGGGGTATCTGTATCTTATCTTTTCCATATAATGTTTCTTTGCTTTTATGATTTGGTGTTGGTTTAAAACTTATGTTTGTTAACAGAAAACTCTGCGAAGCTCCTTATAACAAGACCGTGGACTGGTCCAAGTGGTATATCTTCTGGGCTGATGAGCGTGTTGTGGCAAAAACCCACGCTGATAGCAATTATAAGCTTGCTAAAGATGGCCTTTTGTCGAAGGTTGTGCTCTCAATTCAAACGTCTCAGAGAATAAAAATGTTTCTCTCTGCTTTATCTTGTTTCAATAAGAAACAATGATTTATTCTTACTTATAATAATTTGGGGGAAAGTGATACACCTAGTTTTTTTAGCATTAAAATGTTCTTTTCTATTTTACTTCTCCTACTGAACCTTTCGTAGAAGGGAAACCCTGTCAAAGTAAAACAATGATATAATCTTTTAACAAGATGGAGGGCTTTGGTTTCTTCCAGTTTGCTGAAAAATTGAATAGCTATTTTAATTTGAGCATATATATAAAGAAGCTTGTTAAAATTATCTTGATCACATGAAACATCATAATTTTGCTTCAAGGTGCCTGATTTTGAATATGTATAGTCAATACCGATTACTTTCAAGGAGGTGCTTTTTTTATTAGTTTGGATTTTATTTTTACTATTTATTTAATTGAGATTTAATATTTATTCTGAAGTGGAAGTTGAACCGGAGCAAGGTGGTTCACCCGTTATGATTCACAGAATTAGCAGGCATACATTGTAGTTTACTACAAATTTCTTCTGCGTCCTCTAGCTTTTTTGAAGGGTGGGACAGAGGGCACGTGATTATATACATAAATCCACATAAGTTTGAAATTCTCAAAAGGCTGCTGTCCAACTTGTCTATAGTTGGGGAAATGATTGTGCTGAGACATGAAGGTTATGGTGCTTGTTATGCAAGATTGTGATGGTGGATATTCAATGTTTATACACTGAGGCAGTTTGACAGGAGCATAATAATCATTCTTTAACAAAATAATAACGAGTCTTTGTCTGTGTAGATGAATGTTATTGTTTTCTGAATTTCTTTTACACCTTAAATCCTTTATCTGAAGTTTCTATAACTACTCATGGACCTTTTTGTTAGAATGTTTGTACTGGTGTGTGTTCCACTCTGAGATAGCCTGAATTGAGGGGATGACTTCTCCAGTGATTTCTTGAGTCATGCCCATGATTGGATCTGCCGGAGAAACTCCAGTAGCAAAGTCAGTGACTGGAAAATATAAAGGGCTTTCTCAGAATAGGACTAGTTAATTACTGACCACACCTGGAGAGGCCAAAGATGCCCTGGTTTTACTCAGTCTCTTCTTGCAGCAAGTTAGGAGTGAGATTTTTTTCTTGATAACAGCTGACGCTGATAACATAAGATAGCTGGCAAACCTCAATGGTCCTACAAATGGATCCAGGATATTACTTGAACCTCCATTTAGTATTTGTTGATGGTGAACTGAGTTATGAGTTACTGCCAAGATCAATGGATATGTGATAACTAGGTTCCAAATTTCACATTTGTGGTTCCTAGTGGCATCTAGGAGGGTTATGGAATTAAGATTCACTAGTTAGTTGTCTTGAAAGATCATTGTGGTTGAGATATACCTTAGTTGATTCGTTAGCATGTCAAAGAGATTGAGATAATTGTAATGGTTTCCAAAATTGCCTGGAATTTAGGATGACTGTAGTTGACTTGGTTTGGTGTATTTGTGCATTGAGATAAACCATGGTTACAGCAGCAAGATGCCTGGTGGCAGCATGATGGACTGGTTAATTTCAACCATAATTTCATCAGCAAAATGTGGGGGTGCTAGCTAGTTGTCAGATTAGAGCTTTGGGAAATTCAGATGCCAAAGAGGTAGGTCATTTGCCACAATAATCTTTATTGATACTGAAAATGTTAGTGCATTAGCTGGTTCATAAAATATAAATTAATTGAGTCCCATATCTTGAGGTATTCTGATTTCAAATTGACTGTCTTAGACCTCTAACTTGGTTATATGTTTGGTAGTCAACTTAATTTTGTATTTTGGGATTTTTTTTCTAAAAGATGCCAACGAGCATCTTTGCATAATAGATTTCCACATTTTCTGAGAACCTAAATCTTAGGATATAATCTTCATAATCTGATTTGGAAGTCAATGGTTTTCCCTTTGGATCCTTTGGGATTTTTGGATATCCTATGATTCATTATTGAATTATCAATTGTTAACCAGATCTGCACTTTAGTTTAATTTTTTTAATTGCTTTAAATCAATGGAAGAGGCCCAAGAATTAAAACACGCTAATCTGGGAATTCTTCTGGACAACCTCGGGTTGAAGCAAGAAAGATGTGACTGGAGTTGTCCTATTTGTGTTGGCTGACTGAAAAACTGGGGTGATAGATGACTCAAATATGTGACTGTAAAATCTGTCTTGGTGCATGTGCTGAAAAACATGTTTATCTGAAATAATAGGGTGAAAATCAGAATTTTTTAATTGTTTAGCCCCAAAAGTTAAATCCCTGTTTGTGAGGGGAAATGGGGATTTTTTTTTAGCAACACCTAATGGACTTATTGGGCCTATATTGATAGATGACTCAAATATATGCTGAAAATCATGATCAGAGTATCACGAAGGATCTTCATACCCCTGAGTAACAGCTATTGGTTGCAGTATATCTGCAGAAACTACACGAGAAGGGGGTTATCACGGTTTTGACTGAGATTCATGTTATCACTAGAAAATAGTATTGCCAGTTAATTAGTAGTTCTATTCTATGATGGACTTTTAGCATTAACGTTATCTAATCTATCAGCTCTAACATTAGCATATATTGCTTCATAAATGCACTGGCTATGACTTCCTGGTTTAATTTTCCACTTCTGTGTATTCACTTCCATGAGCTTTTATCTTAGATCCAGTTTCTTTTTCCTATTTTCTCTGGGTACCTTCAGGGTATAACGATGTTCCCTGTATATTCTTCTAGTTTTTCTTCTATTGCTTCTATATTCTCATGTTTGAGCATTTAACTGCTTGACGTGCAATTTGTGGCATGTTCAGGGTGTTCCTAACTTCCAATTTTCTGATTGCAACTGCTGTGCAATTTGATCCACTCGAGTCTGTAAAGAAAGTCTTTCCCCTCCTGACATCTGCATCCTGCACAGATTAGGTCCCCTTTCTATTTCCTTCTCAATTTGTTTTGAAATTACTTCATTGGTAGCTTCGAAGGATTCCTGTTTTCTCAGAAAATGGGAGCCAATAACCATGATAATTTTTTTAACACGACCATCTGCATAGCATAGAACTTGGGTCCCTAATTCGTGCTCTAAATGAAGCTCTGGTATGTTGTGAGGCTTGAGAAGACACCGAATCAAATTCTACTCATTCTATTATCTAGTCAGTTTAACGCATGAAGCAAATGTGTAAAAGTTCATTGGCAAAAGTAGAATTGCAGTTTCATAAAACTTGCTACACGTTATAAGAGCCCAATTGTAGATGAGTTTTACTGTTTCTCTAGTTCAAATGTTACCAAATCATGTGATAATTCTTGTTGAGATCTTGCTGCTTCTACTTCTCATATTGTCAATATATATAAAAAAATAATAATTATTTGCAGCCAATAGCTCTTGGTGCAGAATTTGCATGTGTTTACTGATGATATTGTCCCCTGGAGAATCAATAAAAATCTGAAAGCATCACCAGTTATGGTTTCTGAGGTAGTATAACAAGCAAGTTCCTTTCACCAAGGTGGATGGGACCAAATGGCTCTTTCTTGGAGGCTCTTTTATGTTTCACGTACTGGGTTAATAAAGTATACCCATTACCAAGTACAAATTATGATGATGGGGATTCTTACAGTTTTACCAGAATTGATGATATCATTATAAGAAAGAGGAATACAAGCAACAACATAAGAAATCTTTTAAATTGGAAGAATATTGCATATGAAAGTTTGCTATTTTCTTTCTACAAACAGGGTGCATGTGCCTCCAATCTTTCTATTTTCCTTCCATTTATGGGAAGTTGGTTGTCAGGTTTTCTTTTTCAGGATAAAGGTCTGAAATGCTGGGGACCCTATTAATTGACAGTTATTCTTGAAGGTTGTATATCATTATTATGCTTACAATGCCTTATTATGCTTTAGTAATGATTTCTTAGTGACAGTTTTTTTAATGCGAGCCAAATTAGTTTTAAAGTGACTGAAATATGTACGGGTGAATTTGAAATAAATCCTGTATCAAGTGTATGGTGTTTTCAGCGTTCCCTTGCAAAATAATCTTGACCTACGTGTCTATTTCCCATGATCCATGGGTATTTTCTGGAAATTATATGGATATTAAAGAATGATGAGGATTGTGGCAATGACTGCTTGAAAATAATGTCTGAAGTGTTTTCTCCAAGTATGATTAATTACAGTAGAAAACTAGAATGTAATTATTGGACACGAAAAAGGTGCAATTAAGCATTAATGAAATTTTAGTCAAATACGAGACATCCACCTTGATGGTCATAAATTACCGAGGGATAGTGTGGGAAGAGGGGGATCTTAGCATATTACATATTATCCCTTCAGCAGACTATGTATATATGTACTGTGTCAAAAATGCTCCCAGCATTCAAGAAAACTGTTATCTTATTACAGGTTAAATAGCAATAAAAGATGCTTTATGATATCCAAGGGGTGTACAACTTGCTTTTGATGTATTTATCCCAACAGTTGCAGTTTGTAAATGAATACAGGAAAGAGATGTGGTTCAACTGGGTGTTGTCAAAGGTTTTTTCTTTTTTCTCTAGCTAGATTATTGGGTTGTTCTCTGTGATTAATGCTTTATATGGATTACTGTTGATAGAATGATTAATATACTTTGTAGTTGGGGAATTGGAATATTTCTGTATTGTAGGATCTATAACATTGAATATTCAGGCTTTAGGTTTGTATCTTCACTATTGTCTTCCGTGTATTTCATTTCATAAATTATTCTATTCTGAAGTCCATAACAAACATTCAGCTAGTGCGATGTTTTCTTGTATTGCAGTTGCTATTACGTGTTAATTAAGAAAATATAACTGTTAGGAACAATCTTATTTTGTCTGTGTTTCTGTGGTTGTTGGAGGTGCACTTTTTCATGTTAAGCACCATTTTATATTATAAACCCTGAATTGCATTTGTTCTTCTGTGACACACATGATATGCTTTTTGATAAATTCCTTAACAGGGGAAAAATATGTAATTCAGGATTTGTTTGCTTTCTATTTAAATATAGAGTTCAACAAATGCAACATGTGAGCCTCTGATATAGATGTGTCCATCTCTCCATGTCTGTTGTCTCTTTAATATTCCTTGAGATTACTTGATATCCATTATATTCCTCTGCTAATATAATTGTTACATTAGCAGGTGCCTATTGTCCCCAGTCATGTGCATTCTATTAACGATTCTGTGTCAGCAGAAGAAGCTGCAGACGATTATGAATTTGTCATTCGACAGTTAGTGAAGACCCGTATTGTAAGTGTGTCAGAGATTAGTGACTGTCCAAAGTTTGATCTCATTCTGCTCGGATTGGGTCCAGACGGCCATGTTGCCTCTTTGTTTCCCAACCACTCAGCAATCAATGAAAGGGAAGAATGGGTAACTTTCATTACTGACTCCCCTAAACCTCCACCTGAGAGAATCACATTCACCTTGCCTGTTATCAATTCTGCATCTAATGTTGCAGTGGTTGCCACAAGTGACAGCAAAGCGGAAGCCGTACACTTGGCAATAGATGATGTTGGACCCGAATGCCCGTTAATACCAGCAAGAATGGTCCAACCAGCTATGGGGAAGTTGGTGTGGTTTTTGGATAAACTGGCTGCCTCAAAACTTGAAGAATCCAATTTGAATAAGTAGGACTTGTAAGTTTGTAAGTAGTGTTAAGGGGATTTGGCAATCGTTGATCATCCTCAGATCGTGCCTCTGCCTATCACCTTTCTCTTGGATAGAAAGTCTTTGCTTTTCTTCCTTTTTTTGCTTTCTCTTGGAGGTTTTTGAGGAAAGTATGGTATAGTTTTTGTAAGCGGCCAATAAAAGTTGTGGAGAAGCATCATTTGAAGTGCCAACACCCTTCTTTCCATCTGATTCCTCATTTGGGTTATTGGCTATGATGATGATCTCACCTGTTTGCAGTTTAGAAAGGAAAATCAGGTTCATGTAATTCTAAGAGTTCACTTCCCACACCCTCCCAGTTTCTTGTTTATCTATTTTGATTCAATTTCAATATATATAATATTTCTACTTGATGATGGAAAATTTGAATGCCCCCTATCATTTTTTGGGTTGAAAATTAAATTTGAAGAGTCCTCTGGCGATGGTATGAGGTATCAAGGATATGCTTATTTATTCTTCTTTTGGAGTTAGTGGTTATTGATGAATGCAACGTGAACCATCAATGATTCACATATCGTGCACTTGGTTATGTAGGAGCAAATGTAGTCCTTGTAGGGATGATGGAGGAAAAGAAAGTTGAATATTTTTTATGCAATAAGTATATATATATATCCGTTTGGGGCATATAGCTTCTTTTTTTTTTTTTTTTAATTGATGATGAATGAATAGAAGTTATTGAAATTCTATTGAACAAAGTTTTAGAACCTACTCCCTTAAACTTTATAAAGAAAATGATCTTACCGTTGGAGCTTTTAAAAGTAATTGTTTTTAAATTATGAAAAAAGATGTTTTCTAATGACTTCTTTTTTAGGTTGGTTTTTGAAATCAACATAATCTTGTATAACTTTCTAAACATTCACTATTAGGGATTCACTTTGTAAACATTGTCACGGGTTTCAAAGTTTGTGAGATGATTATATTCCTTTATTGTTTTTTTCATTCATAGAAATTGAACACGGAAGACATTTAAAACTGCTTACACACGATTCAATTAAGTTAGACTTTTGTTTAACCCTTTATGATTGATTGAACAAAGTTGGACAAATTTATTGATTAAAAAAGACAGATGCTGAAAAAATTTATAAACATCAGAACATTTTACAACAGACCCTCGATGAGAGGAGCATCCTATCATGCGACAAAATTAAATACACAACTTTGGCAAAGAAATGGGAAGTGGAGTTTTAAGTGTTGATCATAAAGCCATTCATACAGCCAAAAGAATGGGAAATACAACATTAGGTAATATTATTTCAAAAGTGAAAAAATTCAGCTTTCTATACAAGGGATGAAAGATTCACTGTGAGAAACATGGGCTACAAAACTGATATTACTCATCAGCAGTTACAAAACTGATATTACTCATCAGAAGGTCCTCCCACTGTGCGGTATTCTTTTTCTGAAATTGACCTAATTCCATTTGAATCAGGAATTATGTCCTCCATATCGTCACGAGGAGGAAAGCCCCGAACTCGGCCTTGTATCCATTGATCGGTAACCCCACAATTGATTGCATACTTGATCGAATGTTCAAGATATCCTTTATCAGTTATCAAATCAAGTTGAACTGACAACTTGCGCAAGAGGGCTGCAAAAAGAATGACAAAGTTGAAGTGAGACTTAGTTTTCACAGCATGTTTGGTCCTATCTGTACTTACACCATAAGCAAGTCTTTCTAGAAGGTATCGATCACAACATTTTATATAGTGTATGTGGTTTTATGGGTTCTAAACATGTGTCCAAAAATAACACTCCAGATAATGTTTCATCTTTAAAAAACAGATCACCTTCTGAGAATTGATGCTTGAAACTATTTTTGTACAAATCATTACGCACCAAAGATACATTCAATATAAGCTGGGTGCTGCTACTACCATTTAGCATGTTTTTGTTAGAGAATTCATTGAGCAAAGTCAAATGTGGTCAGGGAAAGGAACTTGAGTTTTATCTTTTATGTATCTAGTGGCTCTGAGCTAACTACAATATGCAATTAGTCCCCTAAATATTGTTCAAATAAATGGGTTTAATTAACATCAATTCCTCAAGAACAAAGTCTTACTTCAAAATTCATCACCTCCCAAATGATTATTTTCATGATAGGGTCATCAGATATTGAAAAGAGGTTTCCTTTTATATTTTTCAAATGGATTATGCTTCCTACGGAAACAAAATGCAGGGTTCAATTGAAATGGAAATTTACTGTAACGCACCCGCAACAATGCCATCTCCAGTTGCTGACATATCACAAGTGAATGGGGTAATCGGGGCATCCTCCATCCCAAGAACAGCACCATCAAGTTCTTTTGTGTAGTAATGTATCTTGGAAGTTCCATTAGTCACAAATAAAACCTTCAGATTTTCGCGCCAAACTGTAGCAACCACTTCAGGTTCATAATGGACAAATTTCGAACTATCATTGTTTTTAGTGTCAAATTCTTCAGTTGGTGTAATCCCACATAAGAACTCTAGTTCTTGCTTGGTGACCTCAATAATGTCTGCAAGATTCCACACTCGCTGAATGAACAAAATAGTTTCTTCCCTTGAGTGCCACAGCGGCATAGGAAGGTTTAGATCGTAGAAAACAACCCCTCCAAAGTGCTTTGAGATCTTGATGGCTTGCAATGTAGTTGACCTCATGTTACGATCAAGCAGGGAATGAGTATTGAAGTAGAACATTTTTGCCTGCATGACATGTATTTAAACTCTTAAATAGCACTCAAGCAATCTGACCTCCAAATAAGCTAAAACCTAACAAGTAGAATGATAGTATACAGAGGACCAAACATACCCCCAGGAAAGCAAACATGCTTTATTCAAATGTGCACATGGAAACCAACAATGCAGTACCCTACACCAACAAAACAGGACAATAAAGTAATTTACACTTAATTGCCCTAATGCAATATTGATCTTCTTTCCTATATCGGGATTTTGCAAATTGGGTCTCCCCCATTTTTTTCACAAATTTAATCTCCTACTATATTAGTTGCGCAACTTTCGTCTATCTATTAGACATCCAATACATGACAGAAATGTTAATATGACAGTACTGCATATCCACATCAGCATTCTAATGGCATGTTAATACTTCCATTGAATGTTATATCATTCAATTTTGCTACAAACACTGGTTTCATAATGACGAAATATACATACCAATTCAAGCTCAATAATATTGCCATATAAAAAATGATCAGCCTTTAATGTACAGGCTACAGACAATTCTATTTACTTATTTTAGATATTTTTCTTTAATAGTTTTCAAGTTTCATACCTCTTTCAGCACATCAATATTTAGCTCCGTCTTCGTCAAACTATCTTCAGCACAAGGTTTTACACAACTCATTTTAAGATGATTCCTTTTACCAATCTTCATCATTGATACAGCTGTTGCCCTTTTACTATCAATACGAACTGACCGGGTCTGAACTTTATTCGCATTCATATAGTACAGCATTGCTTCACCATAAATATCATCTGCAAGTTTTCCCATGAAAGCAACCTTGCCACCCAAGGTAGCAAGAGCAATAGCAACACTACCGGCAGATGTACCTGGAGCCCTAACAAATTTTTCAGGGCTCCATAATGCATCCTTCCTGCTTTCATGAATTTCATGATTAATAAGCCTATTTGCGGGTCTACCTGAAGGCACAAAAGCATGCTGTGCGGCTCCAAAGCAGCAAACAAGAGGAGGCCATCCATAGGTAAAGCTAATGTCCTCTCCAACATCTTTTATTAGTTCCAAATCAATGTCACTCTCATCCTCCACATTTTCATGAAATGATGGCTCATCTTGGTCACTGATTTCAGCTGCACTACCTTTATCCTGTACAGTTAAGTTCTCCACTTCAGCTTTCTTTCGTCTTCTAACCTTTTTCTCTTCCTTGACTTCCTTTTTTTCTTCCAAGCTAGCAGAATTCGATGCATCTGTTAACGGTAACAGGACTTAGCTAGCATTTATAAGGAAAACACATATGCAATGCATAAAACTCCCAGCATTGATTTTAGACAAAGATCAAGAGATTACCCTTTTTCCTAGTCCTTCGAGTTTTCTTGGAATCATCACTATAGGCAGATGAGCTTTCTCCAATGGAGGCATCATCACTATCCACCGACAAATCACCCTTTCCTTCAAGAGACTCATCTTTTGCTTTCTTCTTTGTCCTCCCGGTCGGCCTCTTAGCTTTAGATGACCTAGTTGTCTTCTTCTCAACCACAGATTCATTGTCACTGGATTCTTCTAAGGCCGAGTCTAGAGAAGCCTTTTTCCTAGCCATTGCCACATGACCCCATTTACACCCAGACCTGAGTTCCCCAAGTTGCACTGTGTTAAAAGAAGTACTACAATGGGACCAAGTCAAGTGGTACCTGTACCATTGCAGAGACAAAATTTACAAATTCATATTCAGCCCACCACAAACTAAAATTCCATCTAAAGTTGATCCTGTAAAACTCAGTAAGCAGTAATTTCAAATTATTAAAGAATCACTAAGAACAACCCCCCAACACACACACACAGCCAAATTGAAGAAGCGTTTAATTTTTTTGAGAAAAATTATATTTTTATCCAAATCATAAGCAAAGCTGTAGAGGGAATCAATGGGTTTCAGATAATTTGCTAAATTGCAAGATTTCCTTGAAACTCATTTCTTGATTATAACAACAAAAAAATCTATATTGAAGATGAAAAATAAAGGGGATATATATGAGATAACAAATAGAGGGTATCAATGAAGAGAGAACCTAGGAAGTGAGAGAAACAGGGGAAGAGAAAGACACGACATTGGAAAGAGTCAGAGAGTAGTTTTTCCTTCAGGCATGACACCCTGCACCAGCTACTAGCTAAGGTTTAGTCGAGTTTGCACTAAGAAGATTATGGATGACTTCAGAGAGAGGAAGGGTTTAAGAGCTACACCCAAAACGACAAGGGTTTTTAAAACAGTTAGAGTGTGCCACACTTCAAACTCATGTCGTTTAACTATATGACCTTTTCTTTTAAATGGTCTTAAAAGAAAACATAAGTGAATAAATTGTACTTTTAGTCCATAACTATTTCTATTTCATTCATCTTAATGTTTATTTAGTAGAATTTGTTTTAATTTGCGAGTTAAAATCACTTTAAATACTTATTTTATATATAAAATAGTGTCCATATATTATATTGAATTAGATCGAAATAAATTCATGAGTTTAATAAAAATATTATAAATTAGATTGAGTTAAATTTTTGTACTTATTTTTTTAAACTATTTTATTTTATTTTATTTTGATCGAGTTATATTGAATCCGGTGAATTAATAAAAATTATTTAAAATTAATTTCTTTTGTTAAATTTTTTATTTTTAAAACATGCTTTTGATAAAAAAATTTAAAATATTTATATTATTTAATATTTTTAAAATATATATTTAATTAATAGAATAACTAAATAATAATAATAATATTATTTAATAATTTTAGTTATTTAATGTACAAAACCTTCGTATAAAAACTGTCACAATTATAAAAAAAATTATATATAAAATAATTTTTTTAATTATTAATAAAAATACAGGTATTCGCATCAAACTATCACAATTATAAAAAAAACATACATAAAAAAGTTATTATCATTTTTTTAATTACTTATAAAAATACAGGTGTCCAATCCCATTTAGAGTTTGCGATTGAAAATGTAAAAAATGAATCAAAATTAAATATGTAGTGATTATATGAATGTGATAATTTCTCGAATAAATTGAAAGATAATATTTATAATGTTAATATTTATTAAAGAGTAAAATTAAAATGTGTACATTAAATGAAATCAATGTAATGAATAATATATTTAAAAATATTTAAAAATATATATTTAAATAAAACCTCTGTAAATTTATTTACTAAAATAAATTAGTTTATTATTCATAAATAGTAATTATTTTATTTTTTATTTTTCTTTATTCTCTTACTTCATTCATGAATTATTTTTCTATTTTCTTTCTTATCATTCTTTTTTTTTCTTTCTCTTCATTCACTTATTTTTCTATTTAAAAATATTAGATTTAAATTTTATAAAAATATAAAAATATTTTTTTTAAATTAACATTGAAATAAATATCAACTAATTGTTTAAAATTATAATAACATTAAATAATTTATTTATGATGATAATAAATAATTAGTTAACATTAAAATAAATATCAATTAATAATAATCTATTTAAGATAATAATAAATAATTAATTAAAAATTATTTTATCATAAAATTTAATCACTTATTTAATTAAAAAATATTAAATATATATGAATTGAATTTATTCTTTTATTTAATAATTTAATAATTATAATTATGTTAGGTTACTATAATTAGTTAGATTAAGTAATTCAAAAAAATTATTTAATAAAAATATTTTAAAATAATTATTTTAATATTTTTAATTAGAAGAATAAAATAAAATAAGAAAATAAAAGATAAAAGGAAAAAAATGAATAAATGATGAAAGATAAAAGATAAAAAAAGTAAGGATTGAATGTGAAAAAGAGAATAAATATTTATGTAAGACTATTTTATTTTTTAGAATTAAATTTTTAATAATAAAAAGATCTAATTAAATAAATAGAAAACTAAAAAGTTTATTTAAATAATTTGAAAACAATATATTATTATTATTATTATTATTAGAATAGAAATATTGCCTAAAGAGCATGTTGGTTACTCTTGGTAAAGCTTTCCCCTTTCTCCTCCCTGTCCAGGTCGGCATGCCCTTACTGTTTCAAACCTATCAAAATTCGGAAGTATCGTTGTCAGTCTTCTTTTTTCTCTTCCTGCATCTGTCCGTGTCTTGGAGTCTCATTCTTGCTTCTACAACCCAATTATACAAGAGTCACAAAATAACCATCTATTTGGCATCTTGAAGAAACAATTTGTGTATTCTAAAAGTTATAAATTACACTCACCAACATTGATTTAAAGTTTGTGGAGACTGTGATCGCAACGGTTATATTTATTTGCAACAGTGACCTTAGATCTTCATAAGGGTATTTATTAAAAAGGTAGGCAGGTTATCACTTTGTGCGTATTTTGTGTAAGGTGTTTGATGATATGTCTCAAAGACTTTTGGATCCTGTTTTTTTTAATGTTGTACCTTATCGGAAGTAAGCCAGCCTCGTTGACTGCAATTTTACTGACTTTGATGTTTCTTGGCAGCATTTAGTGATTCAATAGATTGGAATAATAGATTTTTATTTTAATTGCTGTTGTATGTAAGGATGTTTCATTTTCTAGCGGAACGGGAACTCTTTCTAGTATTTTTGTTTTTGTTTTATCAATGTCTGGGATACTGCATATAATACACTTTGTCTATCCTCAGTTCAATATTTTGAAGTTTATGGAGGAGTCCACCTATAAGCTTTTTGCAGCAAGAAAATATGCACGTATTAAAGAGGATGAATAAATAGTTTAATACATAATATTAAGCCGATAAAAATACAAATTATTGAAAATGTCATTATAATAATTATTATTATAATTATTATCTAGATGTTTGCAAGGGAATCTAGATTGTATCCTTACAAAATCGCATTACTTTCCCGCAACGGTTCATTCCCCAAGTTGCTCCGATTTGACAAATCAGTGTAATTCTATTTTTGGTAGAACCTCATCTTCAGTCTTGGCCACAAGATCATCCTTGATCTCAGTTTCCTCTTCCTTCTCTCCTTCCCGCTGTTACGCCACTTGTTTCATGTGCAAGTCTACGCCGCCTGCATCGCCGAGCGATTCTGGGTCTCAATCCGTAGCATCTCCTCCTCCTCCTGCTGGCGCTCAAACCAGGTATCCGCATACACTCAAACTGAAACACAGAAGATAGATACACAATCAGTCACACACAGAGCACAGAGTAAAGCATAGAATTAGAGCATTCAGAAAGTAGGGCTTAAGCAAGAGTGAAAATAAGTAGAGGATCAAGGTTTTTACTAGGTTGTGCGGCCCAGCTCTGTTCGCCGCCCTTGATGCGTTCAGGCAGAGACTAGTTGACGCTGAGGACGCGACAGTAGAGCTCGGCGGCGTCTTCGCGTTCGGGGAAGGTGACGAAGCCGAAGGAGCGGTGCTTCTGCGTGGTCTGGTCGAGCGGCGTCTTGATGTCCTTGATGTCGCCGAAGGGGATGAAGGCGGCGTGGAGGATGGATTCGTCGACCTCCTCCGCTAGCCCTCCCACGTACAGATTGTTCTTCTGCACCCCTTGCATCATCGCCATTCCGACTGCACTCACTTCCAAAACCAGAACCATCACCACCACCACCACCAAGGAACGTTAACGTTCCAGGGTCACACACTAACACCCAAACCTGTGTTTTCGGATTTTGTCTCTGGGCTGGGCTTCATTTCCTGACGGACTTCAGGCCCAGTTATTTGGACAAAGATGTTGCGAACAGTTTAAGCATAGGTTAGGTTGAGTTGAGTGACATGTATGTCCTTATGCAGAGTGTGCGATTAAGTTTGAAAAAATTGATAAAAACTAAATAAGTAGTAATTATATGAATGTAATCATTTCTCTAAAATGTTGTAGGATAATATTAATATTTACTAAAACTTAGATAGACTAGTGAAGTATGTATATCAAATGAGATATATTATTATTATTATTATTATTATTATTATTATTATTATTATTATTTTAGGGAATATTTACAAAGAAAATATTGGTTTATTACTTGGGTAAAACTTTTGCCTTTCAACTCCTATGGACGACAGCATTTCCCTATTGTTTTAAACATATCAAATAAAAATTTGAAAGTGTCGTTGTTTGTTAGTCTTGCTTTTCTCTTGTTTCTGGCAGTGTCTTGGAGTATCGTTCTAGCTCCTCTAACCCAATTCACAAATTCGAGTAAGAATCACAAAGTAACCAATTTATTGGTATCGTGAAGAAACAATTTTTGTATGCTAACAGTTCTAAATTACATTCACCAACATTAATTTAAAGATTTGGAGACTGTGACCGCATCAATTATATTTATTTGCAACAGTGACCTAAGACCTTCAGAAGAGTATTTACAAAGTAGGCATGGTTATCACATTGTGCTTATTTTATGCAAGGTGTTTGATGATATGTCTCAAAGACTTCTGGATCGTGTTTTTCAATGTTACACCTTAACGGAAGTAAGCCAGCCTCATTGGCTGCAATTTTACTGACTACAACGTTTCTTGGCTGCATTTAGCGATTCACTAGATTGGAATAATGGATTTTTATTTTAATTGTTGTTGTATGAAAGGATGTTTGATTTTCTAGCGGAATGTGAACTCTATGGTATTTTTTTGACCAATGGCTGGGATACTGCGTATAATACACTTTGTCTATTCGCAGATGAGTATTTTGAAGTATATGGAGACGTCCAGGCTTAAGCTATTTGCTGCAAGAAAGTATCTAAAAGGTAAATGTAAACTAATTGAACTCGCGTAAACTGACTTTCCTATGATCTGATACCAAAAGCCATTCAGATTGAAGTTTGTGGGCCCTTGGCTGTTATAGTTGTAAGTAGTAGTTATATGCATGTCAGTGAATTGATCTTTCGTTAGATGAAGGTTCTTAAACCAAAGATCACCATCAACTAACACTTAGATGGAAATGTAAAGTCGAGATGAGAGAAACTTAGAAGACATAGATGATGATCCCATGGGTTTAGACCACTGCATAGCTATTCAATTTGTAGGCGCAAAGCATAACTACATACTATTCAATTTCCCTATTTTAGGCTAATACATAAATATAGAATCAATCTAATTAATCCTAATATCATCAATTAATCATAATGTCGTATGTATAGGATTCTGTCAAATTCTCCCCCCCCCCCCGCCCCGGGATTATTATACATTTTAGTCATTCAGAGATAAATTCTTTCAGCTTTATAAGCCATGCATGGTTCCTAAACTTTGCTTCTTCTTTTTTTCAAATTGTACATGCTATGTTGCACGGCGGTTATGATTAAATACAATATATAAATATGATGATTTTGTTAAAAATTAGGATGCAGGTACAATAATATATATTAAGATAAAATATATTTATATATTTAATAATATCTTATATGTTAATAATTTATTTTTCTTAATGTAGCTGATATTAAATTAGTTTAATATCATTATTGTATTATTACTGGTCTCTAATCTCTTGAAAAAATTATAAAAAAAGCACAACCGCAATCAAATTTATATAAAAAAGTTAAATCTAAGTTATGATTATGATCCCTATGTTTTTTAAAGAAAAAATTACACATTAAGCAGTTTGAAGTTTGATATAGAATTGTGAAGCATCCATGTATCATTGTTTGTGTGAAAGGAAGGAAAGTAATCGGAGCTCTTGATTTTCGGATATCAATTTAAGCCTGCTACTATATTGTTTTTATTTTCTTTGCAGTACCAGGTTTTTCCTCTTTCCACACAGTCCCAAATTCCTCTGTGGAACTTCACTCACAAGAAGAGGAAGTAGTGATTGCTTTGGGGAGTAATGTTGGTGACAGGCTGCATAACTTTAAGGAAGCCTTGAAAATAATGAGGAACTCAGGCATTAACATCACAAGACATGCTTGTTTGTACGAAACAGCACCGGCATATGTTACTGATCAACCTCGCTTTATCAACTCAGCAGTTAGAGCTGTTACTAAACTTGGTCCATATGAATTATTATCTACACTCAAAAGAATTGAGAAGGCCTTGGGCCGTACAGATGGTATAAGGTATGGTCCAAGGCCAATTGACTTAGACATTTTATTCTATGGTAAATATAAAGTCAGATCTGATATCCTCACTATACCTCATGAAAGAATTTGGGAAAGGCCATTTGTTATGGCCCCCTTGATGGATTTATTGGGATCAGCTGTTGACAGTGACACAGTTGCTGCCTGGCATTCATTTTCAGGTCATTCTGGTGGACTTTCTGGATTCTGGGAAGAATTAGGCAGCGAGTCACTTATTGGAGAGGAAGGTATGTATAGAGTAATTCCTGTTGCAAACCGGTTACTTGATTGGTCGCAGAGAACTTCTGTCATGGGGATTCTTAATGTGACTCCAGATAGTTTTTGTGATGGGGGAAATTTCCTGTCTGTGGATTCTGCTATTTCTCAGGTTCGGTTAATGATTTCCGAAGGAGCAGATATGATTGATATTGGGGCACAGTCTACTAGGCCGATGGCAAGTAGGATTTCTGCTGAAGAAGAGTTAGGTAGATTAATCCCAATCCTGGAAGCTGTATTGTCAATGCCTGAGGTTGAAGGAAAGCTCGTATCTGTGGATACTTTCTACTCTGAAGTTGCTTCAGAAGCAGTGAGTAAAGGGGCTCATCTTATAAATGATGTATCTGCTGGGCAGTTAGATAGTAATATGTTCAAGGTCATGGCAGATCTTGATGTTCCTTATGTTGCAATGCACATGAGGGGCGACCCATCTACAATGCAGAATAGTGGAAACCTGAAGTATGATAATGTCTGCAAAGAAATATCATCAGAATTATACTTGCGGGTCAGAGAGGCAGAGGTGTCAGGAATACCAGCATGGAGGATTATCATTGACCCTGGCATTGGGTTCTCAAAGAAAACTGAACACAATTTGGACATCCTCATGGGACTACCTGATATCAGAGAAGAGATTGGCACAAGAAGTTTGGCCATCTCTCATGCTCCCATGCTAATTGGTCCCTCAAGAAAGAGTTTTTTAGGTGAAATTTGTTCTCGTCCCGCGGCTGAGAGGGATCCGGCTACAATTGCTTCAATCACAGCTGGTATTTTGGGAGGGGCTAATATTGTTAGGGTGCATAATGTCAAAGATAATCTAGATGCCGTGAAGCTTTGTGATGCAATTCTAAGACAGAAAAGTTCTCAGATGAAATCTCGACATTGAATTTGTTTTTCTACAGCATATCTCCTGCTGGTGTTAATTGCCAAGCTACCTGAGTATTCGTACTTATGCAGCAACAACTCTGATACTGTCGTCCTTTGCTAAGTCACTCACTCCTACTCCAAGATCATTTGTAGAACACCACAAAGTTGCCAAAGCCAGAAGAAAGAAGTATCGAGTACAATGTAGCATTCAATAATCAGCAAACCACTTTTCAATTCTCAACTTTATGTCTCGTGTTTATCTCATTCCTTAACATGTATTTGATTCACTGGTTTTATTTCAACCCTTCACTTAGCTTCTTGATTCACAGATTTTGTCATATTCCTTGGTTTATTTCAAAGAAATACTAGTATCACGTCACAATTACTCTTTCCTATTGCTTCAAATCTATGTAAATCCTACTAAATATATGAACCAAATTTCCCATTTGGTGGCCCCGTTCTCAAACTAGTGAGATCCACATGAATTTTGGCCAATAACAAAATGTATTGAAAGTGTAGTATATAATCCTATTAGACTCGGTTAAGTAGTGAAGATTTTAAGTAGTTTGTTGCAGGAGGATACAAGTTCAAACTCAATACTGTCACCATTCAAAAAAGAGTATTGAAGAGTCCATCCATCCTATTCTCACTATTTTACATTTCAAACACTCAAAAAGTGAGCTTTATAATATAATATTTGCGGCAGACATTAATATTTCTCTGGAATTTAAAATAAGCATTACGCAAATTATAGTTGAAATTTAATACGCGTTATGGATGCCAATAGTAAATTACTAAAGGATAAGGAAATGTGAACCCATATTTCCTCTTTTGGCTTTGGAGAACAAATTTATATTATATTCATCTTTGAAAGAATGAGAACCCATATTTCAAAGGATAAGGAAATGTGAAGATTAACTTTTGGTTAAGAGCTTGGATTGTGCTTGAAGCAAACTTAGACAACGTGGTGAGGTGAAGTCACAAGTGAAGGGTCAAATTAAATTATGTTTACATACTAAGTGAAGACTATTTATGAAAGTGACACTCAAATGCCACTATGCTACTTCTTCCTAGTCAAGCACGCATTAGACGCAACTCAAACACTTTTACAACATTCTTGCAGCTTTGAAAAGTAAATTTCCTTGTGGATTTCTTTTAATTGTGAGCGTATATTCCGATATACTATTCAGTAAAAATTAAAAAATATGTTTCGACAATTTTTTGAATAAGAAAACTAAAATAAAAATAATTTTTTTATATATTAAAATTACTTTATATTCAAGTTAATCGTAGAAATTGTGATTTTTTTTTCAAAACTTTTATTTTTAAATTGTGTATAAATTTATTTTATTTTATTTTTTCATACTTTTCCTTTTTCAAAGTTCTTACGCTCATTGACCACCCATTAAGGATATTAACTTTTTCATACAATTCATCTAATCATGTATTATGTTAATACTCAAAGATCTTTATGACGTCAAATCCTTATATTTTCGTAATCAAAGCAAATGAAGAATATTGAATAAATGATAAATTTTAATCTCTATCTCCATACTGATTGAATATCTATATACTCGTCCTCATACTTCACTTATGTATAGAGTTAATAAATTAATAAAAAATACTGCAAATGTCATTATTGTGTGTGAGGATGTAATTGTTTTTTTTTTTCTTTTTACATAATAAGATTAGCAATATAGAAGGATTACTATTCAACATGCATCTATTAACACATTGTGTATATATAAATGTATTTTTATTCTTTAATATACTTCCCTTCATATGACCAGATATTAATGTATAAATGTAATTGCTTTTCTTTTTATGTTAAAATATTAATTAATTATATGACCAGATAATAACACAAATAAGTAAAATTAGAAATTATGTAACACGTAACTAAAATATGACTAAAAAACTTTTTGAGTATTATGTGCTTACACATAACATAAACTACTAATTATGCATAAATATAGTTCAAAATATCTACAATTACCAAGTTATGATTTTTTTTCCTTAATTAGAAACTAATTAGTAAACCATTTGACACTTTACTATTAAATGACTCAAGGATAATGTTAATTAAAATCCATCCTAATCATTGTTCCTCCTCCTACTTAACGCTTTCTTTAATCAGTTGGAGGATAAAAATAACAGTTTTTAGGAGGAAATTTTACCTTTACTAAATAAAATATTTATTAAGGTATGGTTTACCTCTATTTTATTACATATATATTAACTGACAATAACGTATATTTCAAGTACACAACTACAAACAACCCTGTTCATCATTACATCTTCCAAACATACAAGTTGGGTGGGTTGGCCAATTTGTCATGACAAAAATAGATAATGGGTTCGATTATGATCCAACAAATATTTATAAGGTCTGGTCAGAAAAATATTTCTATCATTTTGGTTCGGGTAATTGAAAAACTAGAATAATTAAAACATGTCCGAGATTCAAGTAAAGGGTTTGTGGGATGGTACTTACTAGTCAATGGTCTTTGAAAAAACTATCTTATCCGATCTGCCAAACTGGATTAAGCAAAGTTCCTTTCAGTTAGTATACTTCACGTCTTGAATCTCTTCTTACTGAGTCAGAATTTGGGGGTATATTATTGAGTCATACAGTGTTATTATATTCCAATATGAGATCTTCTAGTACAGCTTTGGCAGGTATAGTACATTTATGGAACTCACCCGCTTGATTGGAAGTGCCCTGCATAATTACAGTGGAATTTCGGCATCTGGTTTGAGGTGCCAATAACAAGAATCTAATGCTTACAAGAGAGAGGGGTAGGCACAGCCTTGAGTATCTACAAAGTTTACTTAGTAGGACACTCGGATCTTCAAATTCAGCAAGGCATGTTGATAATTGGTAACATTTCAGCCAGGGGAATTTATATACTTGGTGAACGGTTAGATGAATATATAAAAAAAAATTTACCGGAGTTGTTTGTACTATTCTCAATCAAAATCTGTGTTCCAACTAAGGAATACAAGGATGACACAAAATACCGAGACAAAATTCTAATTGTATCCTATATAATTGTATCTACCACTGCAAACATCTACTTTCAAAATTGCCACATGGATAATAACAATCAGCCTTAACCAATGTACAATTCAAATACTTTCACAGTTTAGTGCAGTCATAATATAATAAGATCGGGAATTCATAGTTCATATTCATGCTTATGTTTTCCATGTAATTCTACAAAATGTTTCTTTATCTTGCTCTCAAACCTTATATAGTGCACTTTTGAAACTTTTTGTGCTTAAGAGTGGCTCTTCTCTCCTTCTAAGAGACTGATATGCCAGAAAACGAAACTACATACAAAATACGAATCTAAAACTCAATCTCATACCTAAAGGAATCCAATTTCATTTGCAAAGAATGTTGGTTTCATTTCCCTAGCTATCCTGTTTCATAATCTAAAGGAGCAAGTAATCATACACAAGATTTATCTCACATTACACATGACCCACAAAGGTCAGCCTATTGGTCGAGGGTTTAGATCTTCCCAAGAGATTCTAGATTATGTCCTTAAAAATCACACTACATACATGCAACGGTTCACTCACCAAGTTGCTACATTTTGACAAATCACTGTAAATCTATTGTTGTACAATCTCAGCTTCAGCCTTGGCCATAGGATCATCCTTGATCTCAATTTCCTCTTCCTTCTCTCCCTCCCGCTGTTCCGTCACTTGTTTCCTGTGCAAGTCCTCCGCCGCCTGCATCGCCGCGCGATTCTCGGTCTCAATCCGTCGCATCTCCTCCTCCTGCTGCTGGCGCTCAAACCAGGTATCCGCATCCGCCCAAACTGAAACACAAAGCATAGATACAAAATCAATCAAACACAATCATAGAATTAGAGCATTCAGAAATTAGGGCTTAAGCAAGAGTGAAAATAAGTAGAGGGTTAGGGTTTTTACTAGGTTGGGCGGCCCAGCCCTGTTCGCCGCCCTTGATGCGTTCGGGGAGGGCGTAGTTGACGGTGAGGACGCGGCCATAGAGCTCGGCGCCGTCCATGTTGTCCATGGCGGCGGCGGCGTCTTCGCGTTCGAGGAAGGTGACGAAGCCGAAGGAGCGGTGCTTCTGCGTGGCCTGGTCGAGCGGCGTCTTGACGTCCTTGATGTCGCCGAAGGGGATGAAGGCGGCGTGGAGGATGGATTCGTTTACCTCCTCCGCCAACCCTCCCACGTACAGCGTGTTCTTCTGCACCCCTTGCATCATCGCCATTCTCACTACACTCGCTTCAAAAACCAGAACCACCACCACCACCAAAGAACGTAACGGTTAACGTTCTAGCGTCACGCGCTAACACCTAAACCTCCGCTTTTGTCTCTGGGCTGGGCTTCTTTTTCTGTAGAACTTTTTGGGCCTCCAAAGGAACATTTATTTTGAACAAAAATGTTGTGAACTGTTTAAGCATAGGTGAGTTGGTTTACAATTACAAATTTGCCACGTTTTGGAAACAGTTTCTAACTAATTTTTATTAATTAAAAAACTTGCTTGACTTTACTAACCATAATTCTTTACTAGTTTATATTTTTTTCCATTCTAAAATTATATTTTTTTAGTTTAGCACATACTCACTAAGCAGATATTAACTATTTTATAAAATATTTATATTTGTCAAATTTAATCTTTTTCTATAAGATATAAATAAGAGCATATCCAACAGAGTAACTAGCTTAAAAATAAAAATAAAAATATTATTATAAATTTTATATATAAATAATTTAAAATTAAAGAAAATTTCTTAAAATTAACAAAAATGATTAAATTTTAAGCAACTCATTTATAAAATTTATAATAAAACACTTATATTTATTTCCAAACAACTCTTATTAAAAAATTTATGCCAAGGACATAACATACTAACATTACAAATATTATCTTTGATCTCAAAAAACTAGTATTTTGAAACAAAACCAAATTGATAAAATACCTATCATTGTGAAATAGAGGGAGTAATATATTCTTAAAATCCTAATTTTTTTTTATGTTTATTCTTTCTTTATTTTTAAACTATTTATTAACTTTTCCTTTTTAATATTTTTTTATGTATGATTATATATATATATTATAAGGTAAAATTTATTACCTTTTATATATATGTTTTTTTTTAACTTTTTATTACATAAATTTGAAAATGATAAATGTTGAGAAATCTCATTTAAATTAGAAATATGATATCATTATAGTATATAGGTGAATATGATCATCACTTTTATAAAGCTGATTTTGTAAGATTGAGTTAGATATATTACCATTTTTAAGATGGTATCAGAACCAACTCAAAATAGGTTGAGACATTAGTTAACTGATAACCACGTATTATCATACCATTCATCCTTCGTATCCTCCCAATTTTTTTTATTATGGAGTGTTTCAAAAGGAATCTTAAAATTAATAGAACTTGAGAAATTTTAATTTATTAAATAGACTATTGAAGTAAGAGTTTCTCTCCAATTATAATGACATGTGTGCCTCAATAGTGAACCACAAACAACTTATAACAAATGCAAATTTATTCTCTCAATAATCTCATTTTGTTAAGATGTATTGGAATGAGTTGTTTAATTAATAATTATATTAGTTTTTAAATATTGTTGAAGTTCACAATTTTTATATTATGTGCTATTATCATTACATATTGAGTTCTTACCATTTTATGAAAAAATTTAAATTAAACACTTATCTCATTTTTTTTATTTGATTAAGTAATCATTCGTGTACAATCATTAATAAAATTAATAAATCAATAACATTCACCTAAATTTTGAAATTTACATGAACTTCATACATCAAAATATATTATCATAAAAAATTGAGGACTCTTATTTAAAATTAATGAAAATTATATAACTATTAACTAATTCAGAAACATTATAATTAAAACTAGAAATATAATTTTTTAAATAAAGTATTAAATAACTTTTTTAAATACCAAAATAAGGTCTGACTAAGGTATCACAATCAAATTTCAGAATTTTTTTCTTAGAGTTATCAACAATTAATATTTATTATGACTTATCAGTTTTTTTTATAAGATTTAGGTAATATGAGTTTTTTCTCCTAATATTATAATTAATTAATTATTTTGTTTTGATGTATTTAAGAACACAAGAGTCAAAACAAAAATTATCACACAAAATAAATTAATTATTATTTAAGAAATAGATAAAAGATTAAAATTTAAATAAAAAAATCAATACATAATCAAAATTTAAACTATTAATAAGATTAAAAAAATATTTTCAATAGAAATATATTTTTATGCAAATGATTTAATTTTGATGACCTTAAATGTGGTATCATTTGTATGTTCAATATTAATAATCTATATACCACTAAAATTTTTAAGAATCTTACCAGATTATTCATAGTTACTTTTAATACAAATATTTCTTCATTTTATTTGACAAGGAATACTTCATTTCTTAATTCTAACATTTGTATTTTATTTCTTTCATCACAATATACTTTTGAACAAAATATTAAAAATTTATTGATTTTTCTTAACTTGGGTCTGTTCATTTTTATACCTATGTTAATAGTGTTTTTTTTTGTCTTAGATAGGTGTGTCAATTAATTGTTACCATCCTACATTTATTAGATTAATTCGTTACGACGATGCATATATTGATTATTTTTCATTTTATCATATTATTTATATATATATATATATATATATATATATATATATATATATATATATATATGATATTTTATAGAACAGGATATACGATAATATTAAATATTTTTTTTTATAAAATTTGAATAACAAAAATGAATTAATTTTATTTTAAATATATTTAATTTTTTTTCTCAATTTAAAAGTTTTAAAGGATTCTATATAAATAATCGTTATTCCTCGTATGCCAACTTAAGAAATATAAATTAAAACATATTAATTCACTAATATAAAATAAAATATGTATAACTTATTTATTAAATATAAAATATTTATATCTAACTTGATTATTAAGAAAATAATATATTTTATAATTATAATAAATTTTAATCAAATAATAAATTATATTTTGCAGAAGATGATAAAAAAAACAAATCTCAATAGGTAATATTTACATTATAACATTTACCTTAATTATTTTAATATTTTGCAAAGATGATAAAAAAATCTCAATAGGTAATATTTACATTATAATATTTATCATAATTATTTTAATATTTTGGTATTAAAGTTTAAAATGTTAAAATTAAAAGATGTTTTATTAAAATTTTGTGTGGATTTTCCTCTTATATTGGAGTAATTTCGAAAAGAAATTTTGTAAAAATAACATAAAGCGGAGTAGAAATAAGATGTAGGAGGAAAAAAGTCTCATACAACTCTCCTCGGAAGAACCAATTTCGGAGGAACATAAATATTAAAGAGAACTCTTAAAAGTAAAAGGTTTTTAGGAGGAAAAGAATGGGAGCTGTGGTGGTGGGTATACCCGAAGCATGGAAGGAGTACAAATAACGTGCAGAGAATAAAATAAAATAAAATCCTCGTAACTACCCTTGAAGAACTTATTATTCCTGGGTATGGAAAAAAGTTACGGCTCCACCTCCAACCCTGTATGAGATGCAAATCATAAGAAGAGAGGCTTTTTCAACTGAAAAAGACTATATTATCCTTGTGTTTTGCCTTTTCTTCAACATTTGGTAAAATCACTCCGCCTCACAGTTACTCCAACAAACGTGAATTTGAACCCAACTACCATTTCAAACATTTTTGTCATGTTTCTTCAAATAGTTGCTACATGTTTCAAAAAAAGAAAAGAAAAACAGATTAGTTATTATCATTATTCATCAATTTTTCAATTTCTCATCTTCCAATAAAATATTAACTCACAATAACTTAACACCAATGGATAATAAATATGTGACTATACTGATTGAGATATCAGCTATAAATAATTGATTGAAACTCTTTTATAAGAAAAGTTATTATTTAATATCATATTAGATTTTGCTTAATATTAATGGGTGTTTGATAATTTTTTCTATAGATTTATACGTCATGCTTTAAAGATCAGAACAGGTGAAATAAGACTCTTCAAAGAATTAAAACAGCGACGATTCTATTTTTTAATAATATATCATTACCAGTATTAAACCATCCTTACTCAGAGTGACACATTATAATAAAAACAACCTATTGATTTTTATACTAAAATATGTATTGTAAATTTTAGTTTAATTAAAAATATAATTAAATTATAATATATAAATGAGATATGAACCTTATTTTACAAATTAATTTTATAAAAATAAATTATGCATTCATCTAATTTTAAAAAAATTATCTTATTTAAATATTAAAAGATACGCATATGAATAAAGAATTTAATACATAATATTAAACACATATAAATAAAAATTATTAAGTAATATATATAATAATAATAACAAAAATAATTAATAAAAAATCATAATTTATTTGAAGCGTCTTGAAAAAATTGACGCTTTAAATCCCTTGAACAAATTAATTTGATGAGATAACTAGTAATTTATAATCCCTTAACAATAAAACAAATAAGAGACTCTCAACAACAACAGTAGGATATATCATTATTCATTATAAGATAATAATAAATATTTATAATTAAAATATAATTAATATTAATGGTAATTGAATATTATTTTAATTATGAATTAATACTAATCAATATGTATGTACACCATTCTAGGCTATCAAGGTCGTATGTATTTATTGTTCAAATTAATTCCTCGAATTAGTTTCCATTTGAACGAATGAGACATAGAAGTCCTGTTTTGTTTTTCACTTTGTATAAAAAATATTCTCAAATTTTACATTTTGTTCCAATCAAACACATTCAAGCAAACTCATAAAAACAACACAATAAACATGTGGTAGCACTAATGATTCCTTCTTATTCATAAAATGAAAGGAGAGAAAAAGTTAAAATACACTAGAAAATGATGAACACATGCTGATAATTTGATTGGTTGCAGAAAATGGCAATAGTAATAATTATGAAGGAGTCTTGAATGGTTGTGGCTAATGTACAATATTAATCAGTCTCACCACTACTCACCTTTCAAAGCCAATTTCAAAGTCAAGGACAGCTGAAAAGATTCTAGACAAAAAAACTACAACCTGTCTGACAGCTGTGTGAAAAAGATGTTCCAGAGATATTTATTACCACAGGTGTTACACAAATCAATAAAAATATAATGGATTAACAACAATAATGAGGACAATT